GCCTTTTTTTTTTACTGCATTTATATCTTTATATTTATTGACTTTTTATTATATTTACTCTTCTAATGGCTCATCAAGGAATCTCTGTTGTGTTCGTGTTTTTTGTTGACCTTTTTTTTTTTTTAAATCAGATTAGTGAGTTTTTCCTCATTGCAAAAAAAAAAAAAAACCCCTACTCAGAAATTTCATAAGAGGACCCAGAGTACCTTTGTATTTTGGGTTGGCTAATGGCTGAAGATTTCCTCTGAGAAGTGAAACATGTAATTACCACTTTTCAGAGAAGACCCAATTGCTTGAAGCCCTCGTTCTCCTGTTATTAAATTGGGGGTATCAGCAATTTTGTTGGCCAAAAATCCTACGGATAGACCCAGAGGATCCACAGATCCTTCAAATGCTTCTCTAATAAAGTGGTGCCTAGGGTGACCCGCCATGGGATGCACGTGGCCCTAAACGCCTCTGGCTTTCGTGTGCTTAGTCATTAATGTCCCAGTCATGAGTGACAAGGTGCTATTTTTTAGTATTTCATGTCTGCATTTGTAATTTATAAAGCATTTTATTTATTATATCCATTCAGTAAACATCACAGGATACTGGAAAGCTTAATACTGATGGAGAATTCCTGTGATGGAAATGTATCAAGCTCTTTTTTCCTGAAAGGAAACCCATTAGGACCTGGTAGCATCAGTGACACCCCAATATTTGTAAGATGTGGCATCTGGATGAGTGTTTGTCCACATCCTACTGTTGGCTACAGTGTGGCATCCAAAGTAAAATCCTTTTTTTTACATTTAATAAGTCTAAAATTGGTGTTCAGATAATCAAAGTCTTACCGATTATTTATACTGGGCCACTGCTCACAGTTTCAGAGCATCTCATTAGCTGGTAAAGGTTATGAATTAGAAAGCTCCTGCTTTTGCTTGCAAGTAGCCTCATTTATGGCAACAATTATTTTCAATTCTTACCCGCACCAGTGGTGTTTATGAGTTTTTATAATTCTGCAGGACTGGATAATGTCACACTACATAAATCCAGTGCAGACTGGGTTTGAGTCATAGTAAAGTTTTGCTGTCTGATACTTACCAAGGCGTTCCTACATGTTCTAGGTTCAGAGATTTAAATGCCCATTTTCATTGCCTAGTTGAGAAAGTATCTTCAATATGGTATTTAGCAATAAATTTGTAAGTTATTATGCAAGATATTTTAGTGCTGTATTAAATCTGATAAGTCAATTTTCAGCACTTCCAATACAGTGCACTGCTTACAATTAAAAAACATACTTGAATTGGATTTTGCAATCACTCTAAGTATTCTTGGATATTGGGTTTACTTTTTGTGGCCAGTGAGAAATTAAAATTCCCTGGCAAGCACTTGAGCATCACTGCTGAACATGAGTAAAACTTTTTTTACAAGGATAACTGGATTTCAGTTAGGGAAAGTAAGGGGAGGGGAGAAGTGCATTTCTGGTATAGGTCACAACCTTCTGTTCTTATTTCAAGATTTCCCTTTCGCCAGAAATTTGCATGAATTAAAGCTACAGATTCACTTTTCCTGTATCACTGCCTAAGAAGTTTTAAGGGGGATGAGGGTTCTGTATCTTCACCACTTCCAGGTGTGTGTGTGTGTGTGTGCTGTGGTGATACTTAAGCAAGTATTGGTAGCCAGCTTGACTCTGGGGCATCTCGTTTATTTTACCACATGGTTTTTCGTCAGAAAATAACAAGTCCAGTTGTAGGGCTTATCCCAAGATGACTTCACTATTTTTCACTGTTGCTGTTGTTTTTTTCTGTACTAATCTTTCCTGGAGCAGTTTGTGTATTCCTTTAAGTAGAAAAGTGATATGGTTACTGTTCAGGTAACTGAGCTATAAGTATATGCATATATAGGTATATTTGTTAAAAGAAAGCACAAACATTGCAGGAAGTTCTAGGATCTGCCTTGTTGCCTGTAGTTCTAGTCTGTAGCTTTTAGGGGAAGGATGGAAGACTGGATCTGGCCAAGCAGAAGTTGCTTTAGCAGAGATAAGTTAACCCGACATATAGTTATATACCATTAGCATAATTTAAATTAACATGTTTTTCCTTTGATGCCATATGGTACATTATAACCATATGAGGGTTATTTGGTAAATAAAATTATACAGTACAAATAAACTCTATTAGCCAAATACAGTTGCATTTCAGTAAAATCCATAAGCCTTATTCTGGAATCAAAGTGATTTATAAACTGTATAGAAATAGAATAAACACATGGTTCTCACAGTGTATGAGCCTACATCAAAATTCAAAGTAATTCTAAGAGCTCTTTGCTGGTGGTGTTTTACTCCATGCAAAAACATCAAGTAAAATGGAGTTATTTTTCATGACCGGAGCATCCAGGGCTATACTAGGATACTTTCCAGTTTATGTATCACTCTGTTATACATACACACACTCACAGCACAGAGTCATACTCTGCAAAAACAACTGTAGTAATTCAAAACAGCAGAAGAGCAGAAATGGAAGACAAAGGATGAATGTGTTTTTCTTCCATGTTGATGCAAAGTCTTATTAATGGCATTGCTGATTTAAATGAGGCAGTGAGTGACAGGGTCAGTTGTCCCCAATAAGTTGAGGGCAAAAAAAAAAGCCAGTACTTGATGTGTGCTGGTCTTGGAGGAGGCTGCAGCGTGTCCTGGTGAGGTTGCCCAACCAAGGCTGGGCTTTGGAGCAGATGGGCTCCTAGGCCCTAGCTGTGGGTGTACGGACCTTGGTCCTTCCATGTGTTCAAAGGAAGTTCCTGGCTAACTTGTGCATTGGATCTCTCTTCTCAAGCCCCCATGACTTTTTGAAACAGCCATTTAATATATGTAAAATATAGAGATTGTTTTAAACTTTTTTTGCAGGAGAGTATGCATGCTTATGCAGCAAATGTCTACACATCTGTTGTGGAAGAGCTGACGAAAGGAAAGCAGCGCAAATTTATTGCTGTGGAGCAGGAGTTCTTCCGCCTCTGGTGGGATACAGTAGCCACGGATGTGCACAAGCAGCAGGTAAGTTGTACTAGAGCTGGACTTGCTGTGAACAAAACATCCATGCACTTTTCAGAGGCAAGAAGAGGCAAAGTAGCCTAACGTGATTTTACCAAGGTCTCCTGTAGACCATCTCTGAATAGACTTTGTAGGCTATATGCTACTTTTAATGAAAGAACCTTAATTCTAGAAGTAGTTGCAATACGTTAAAACTCCCAGCCATAGATTAGAGTGGTAGGAAGTAGTAACCTTTGAATTGAAGACTCTTTGCACCTTCAGCTCTTCTTTCATTGGTGCCTTTCTTATTTTGGGACATCCTGGTGTAAGATCTGGGTCACTTTGAAAGAATCTGAGCCATTATCTGAGGCTTATGAACTGCTGCCTACCACTGCTCACAAAAAAGGGACCTCTTCAGTTGAACAGTGCTCAAAAACTCCCATTTGTAAGCAAGGGTGATGCAGTAAAAAGACAATGCAAGATTCAAGAAGAATAGCTGTTTCTTGGGTCTGTTTATTTATGAACTGCAATCCCTTTCAGTCTTAAAAGTTTTAATTCAAGCAGTGTTTCTCTGGTACAGACGTTATGAAGCTGTGTTTGTCATTTCTGCTTTCCTCTGGCATGCTGAAATTAAAGCCTGGGCCAGTAGCCTAGAAGCTGGTAACATTTTGCACCACAATACACGATACTTAAGCTTTGGACCTTAAAACCAGAGCGTGTAAAGATGCAGTTCGCCGTAGGTACTGATCTGAATGTCCCCTGTGTTTCTTTTGAAAATTGCACATATCTCAAGTATATTGTATCCCTCAGACTCTGAGGAAACGGCTTATGTTCCTTATATTTATTCTCTCCATTAAAAGGAATGCAGAAGAATACATATTTATCACTTTGACCTCAGTAGTGCAAAAGGAGTAGACGTAAGTTTGCCTTCAATTTCTTAGTCTTTAGTCAGTTTGTGGTTGATTATCTGAAAAAGAAAATTCTTTTAACCAAAAACCTAAATTCTTTTAAATCTATGTCAGAAATGTTGAATATCAGGTAACATTTAGGAGCTATAGTGCTTGTTGATATGTAACATTTGTTTTTAACATTAGGAATTTGTAAGGTATTGGACTTGGAAATTAGGTCACTGATTACTGCCCTGCTTTTTTCCACTTGAACTGAAACATTAGTGATTTTCTATAATACAGCTCTTTGGTTTTAATTTAGCTTTTTTTTTTTTTCTAGTAGTATTTTACTTGAAATACAGGATTTAATTCTGATTTCTCTTGGCATATCTGCTTTGGATTAAAGTGGTAGTATTACAAAGCTAGCATAAGATGTGGCCGGATAACTGGAGCTGATCTTACACTTCAGTCAAGAGGGTATTTTGTAGTGAACTGTGTGCCAGCAGTCCTGCAGAGGTGAACTTGCTGGTTCTCAGGGAGGTTGTTTCCACAGAATGTCCTTGTGGGACACATTCCTGGCAGCTTCTCCCGGCCAGGAGTCGGGATGGGATGTCGATGGGTAGAAGGTGTGTGGCCACGTGTCTGATTTGGAGCAGGGAGTTGAGGACACTGGTTCATAGTGATAGGTATCCTGGATGCACTTGTCTTTTTCTGGAGTTGGAAATTATTTAAATAACTTGAAGCAGTGGTTCATAGTGATAGGTATCCTGGTCTTTAAGGATGCACTTGTCTTTTTCTAGAGTTGGAAATTATTTAAATAACTTGAATTACTTTTTTTTTTCCTTGAATTTTCAACCTTTCAGTGGTTCCACAAAATTTTAAATTTTCCCCAGCCGAAAGTCTGGATGAGCTAGCTTTCCAAACAGGATGTAATAGCCACAGATGCTTTTCATGTAGGTCAGGATCAGTTCTGTGCTGACACCAGATATCAGTTATCTGGTCTCCCTGCATGCTAATCAGTCACCACAGTTGGCTGGAACTAATTTGTGAATGCGTCGCCCTGAAGCATTTTCACAGCATTGTGAAGGAGAGGAATGATTGTAATCAAAATTGACAATCTGGCATCGTATCTGAGCAGACACAGGGGCATTCAGTTGAAGGTTTCTGGGGAAATAAATATAATAGCCCTGGAATTGTCATCCTACATGACGGATTTAAAAAAAAAAAAGAAAAAGAAAAGAAATTAATGGAGAATAACATACATATTTATACAGACTTTCTTTGATGGAAGCTTGAGATACCTTTGAAGTTTCAGGTAGTGAAGCAACTTCTTTTTTTAAACAAAGAAGACTTCCTAAAACTCCTAGAAAGGAGCACTGACTTTCTGGTGGGAGGTGTCTTCCCCACCACACACACTCCTGCAGACTCCTAGAAAGGAGCACTGACTGTTGTCTTCCCCACCACACACACTCCTGCATCTGGCTTATTGCTAAAAGTTGCATCTGATGTTATGCTTGCAGCTTTGAGTGACTGAACTCAAAATGTAAAAGTCTAGTTAATTTATTGGCAGCTTTAAACTAGAAAAAGAGCAGAAATAAAGAAAAAGAGCAGAAATAAAGGCTAGCAATGATTTCAGTTAGGTAGGCAAACCTTATACATAGAATAACCATTCCTTGCTAAAACATTTTACGTTTCGTATGCTGAGCAACCTGTGATTCGTTTTGGAAATACTTGGAGCAATAGTATCTGCTTTGAAATCCTCTGGCTTCACCTGCCCTGAGACAAGGTCTGAGGTGGCTCTGTGTGGGGACAGCAGCCAGGGGTCCAGCCAGGTAAGGACCGACAGACAGACAGCCCTTCTGGGAACCAGCACAAGGTCGGTGTCTCTAGGCCAGTGGATCCTTTGTGCCTGCTGGCTGCTGTCCATCTGAGCCAGGCAGATCAATGCACCATGCAGCATATTTGCTTTTTCTGCTTCCTCATCCAATAGCCCCCAGTACAGCAGCCTTTTACCCCACTTTTGTCCAGGATACATTTTTGACAAGTGTTGAGTCCATGTTTTGATCAGTAATACGCAGTGAGCTGAAATGACTTTGTGGCTCGTGGTTAGGACTAACATGACGTTCATCTTCTGTATCTTAACTTCACTGTCACAGGTACATCAACTGCTTCGAGAGGGACGGCTGGAATTTGTCATTGGAGGGCAAGTGATGCATGATGAAGCGGTAACACTAATTGATGATCAGATTTTACAGTTGACGGGTATGTGTATTTGCATTTAGCCTTAGTTTTCACTCTTATGACCTTGAGGGCCTTGTTTATTTTTCAATTCTCTCTCCGGAATTTTCTGTTACTTTTTTGCTCTTTAAGAACTGGTGTCTTAATTTTTTCTTGATAGTGGATTACTTATATAAAAATCTCTGCTTTAAAAATTACTAAACAGTTCTGCAGTAAACAGAAGGGTTACTGAAAGCTAAATTGTGTTTAATTGATGTAGATTATAAACTCCTTGATAGCAGAGACCTTTTTAGCCTGTGCCTATTTGAGATCTTAGGTTCCTGGAAGGATAAATACAGTGGAATCAAGGATGTAAAACACTGTGGAAGAAGATACCTGGTAACAATTCAGGGAAGGTGGGTGTGCTCCGACTAAGTCTTCTACAAAACATGGGTCATGGGACTTTGTCAAGGTCATTCAGGCTTAGCTCAAAGACTTGCTTGATGAAGAAAACCCCCATTTGTAATTACTAAGAGGTGTCAACATCCTCTGTATAGGCACATATTTACAAGAGATGCCGTGTTCTGCATTTTAATATTCTTACTTCTGCTACCTGTCATTTGGATCTGTTTTGCCTCTCCAGCTGATGATTTAAAGGGTCTTTTAGTGTTTTGAATTATCTCCGTTTGGTTAATGAAAAGCAGCAGTCCAGATCATGCCATTAGCGTGCTGTCGCTGCTTATCCATGCCATGAGGATGCAGCATGTTTTCTTTGAGGTGAGAGGAGATCTGTTAACACCAGCTGACATCCATGGCTGATATAACCCCTGCCCGTTTCAGGGCTGCTTTGTGAACAGTTTTCTGCATGGGACAGCAAAAGGTCCGAAAATGGTTTTGTCACACGCTGATGTGACTGCACAGCCACACAGGCCGTGTTCCTGGTGTGTCAGTGTTACTGGGAACACAAGAACAGCAGCTGCTTTGGACTCTCACTGAGTCACCACGTCACACAAAAGGAGAAGGGATGACTTTTCATCCCATTCCTGTGTGCAAAGCTGGTTATCTGGGGCTTAGTACACCCAGTCTATTTTTTTCCTCAAAAGAAAACACTAGTATTGAGTAAAGAACCCTTTTGTTAAAGCCCTTTTTCTTTCACTGGAGTTAGTTGCATAAAGCATTATACCTAATTTCATATTTAGTTTTGTGTATAAACATACAAAATCTGTTCAGAAGAAGATTCAAGTTTAGTGAATTTAGCAGGAACAAAAATTACAAATAGATCTTGGGTTTTAGGATCCCCAGTTATCCTTCCTAAAAGTACTCCTCACAGTTTCCAATGATTCAAGTAGATGTGAACAAAAGATGTGTCCTTGCATTGCATGCAAGTTCATCCCAAAAAGCCAGTGCAGACATTTGGGGTCTACATTTCATGTCCTCTTCTGTTGTCCAGCCAACTGTGTTTTGGAATAGCCTTTCAAACTGTGCCTAAAATGTGCTTTAGTCAGCAGAACTAGAATGAGCCCATTGTTCAGGAACATTTTCGTGGAAAAAGTTATTAGCCATTGATGAAGGGGGAAGAAATGCAACCTCAGTTTGATCAAACATGATCTTAAAATTTTCGGAGTAAACAGTGTAAAATGGAAAGGATAGAATTGTGTTTTTGAATGGTTCTAAGCACAGTTCAAAAGCCATAAAACTAAGATCCCTTTTTGGTGATGAGGATCCTGATGTGATATATTGGAGTTGTTAAACTAATTACTTTCCTGTTTTTTTACATGTATTTAAATAACTTGCCTGAATTTACCCTATGATCTGCTCTTCTGGCCTTTTTATTTATTTTAAATTTTAAAAAATAATAGGATTTTAGGATTACCGCTAACCTTTTTTTTTTTTTTCTTTTTCTGTGGTATCGTAAGAATATTTATTTTGTTTAATGGATGGGTTCCCCTGTCCCTTTGCAATCAAAATGAGAACGAAGTTTCCTGAGAATCAGTAGTGACATTGCATCAAGCACAAGCTCAGACCCTGCTTGTTGTCTCGCTGCAGACTTCAACCTGCCTGTTGTTAGTCTGAACTTAACCTGGCCCTGGGTGCTGTTTCCCAGGCCTGTCTCTAGTCACAAATTCTAATTGTTATTCCGCTTTTCTGAAGTTAGTAAGTTGTACTTGGCAGGGCAAAATAAATATGGCCAGTGTGAAGTTTTGGCTGTGAATTGTTGTATTTCTGAAGCCTCAAATGCTTGGGAAAACAGCAACGAAGGAGCTACCCTTCCAGTGCTTATCCATAATGCTATATGTCTATTAAACTTGTGAAATGGACTTGTAAAATGGTGCCTAATGTAAACAAATTTTCCTTTACAGAAGGCCATGGCTTTTTGTATGAAACCTTTGGAGTCAGGCCTCAGTTTTCCTGGCACGTAGATCCTTTTGGAGCTTCAGCTACAACGCCAACTCTTTTTGCTTTGGCTGGTTTTAATGCTCATCTCATCTCTCGAATTGACTATGATCTGAAGGCCGACATGCAGAAAAACAAGGTAAAAATATCCCAAGGATAGCCCAATATCCCCAAGTATCCCATGCCAGCCTCTCCTTAGTACTCTAAACCATGACATTAAGAAAAGCATATTTCTGACTTGTGCAAGAAAATGCAAATCTGCCTTGGAAAAAGGCATAATAAAATTGGCCAATTGAGTGAGGGGTAAGAGGGCATTGGAATAGCAGTAGTAGAGTAGAATTAAGATGTTTTAGGTTTCTCAGAATAAAAATATCTCTTTTTTTATATCCCTGCTTTAACGTGCAGCATGTATTTGGGGGCAGCAGTTGTCGTGCTTGGAACATTTAGTTGTTTCTCTGAAAATGATAATACTAGATCAGTCAGGGTTGCAGCTGATCAGTGTCTTGCTGAATTTAATTTTTGTTTCCAGTTTTGCCTTCTCTGGTGCAAAAAGCCCCAGACACAGTAAATATTTTTCCTAAACAATACTGGACTCTGGTCTGTCATCACGTTTATACACTGAATGATGTGCAATTAAGAGAATTTCATGTATGTGAGCAGGCTTTTAGGCAAGCTTTTGTGAAGCCTGGGTGAAATTTACGTCTTTCTGAAGAAGAAATATGTTGATTTCAGTGAAGCAAGGAGCTCCTGCCTCATATTTGGGGTGAATTATGATACTTTCTTTCTGCTAAAACCTCTTTTGAGACTTTGAGAATCTTTTCCCATCTTAACTTTGTTTTTCAGGCATCTGACAGTCTGGAGGCTTCCAAAATTGTAAAAATTCTATTTGAATTGAATAAGCATTGATTCCCGCTGACTATAGTGCAATCTAGACTACATCTGAATCTTTTTTAGCTTGTAGATGTTTCAAGTTCAACTGAAATAAGTAGAGGGCAAAGTCTGTGGAAAGGTTAAACAGCAGAAAAGCAGAAAATAAAGACCTGACTTCGTTTGGGCTGTCTTTAGCTGGTTCTTAAACCAAAATACTCGAAGTAGTACAAATGACTGATGTGCTAATGGAGAGTAGGGCAAAATGAAGTTTTAAGGGTGATGTTGATGGTAGTTCTGTGCTTGTCATCAGTGATAATGATCTCGTTTTTTCTGGTTTGTTTCTTTTCCAGAAACTTCAGTTTGTGTGGCGGGGTTCTCCTTCCTTATCTGCAAGTCAGGAGATCTTCACCCATGTTATGGATCAGTACAGCTACTGCACTCCATCACAAATACCTTTTTCAAACAGGTTTGAAGATTTCCCAACCCTGCAGAAATGTTTTTTTTTTGTGTGTTGTTGGAGTTAAAGCATTTTCTTTGTGCTTTTTCTTCAATATTCAGCTTTCCCTCATAGGCTACATTTAGTGAAAGGGCAGTCTGGACTCTGTAGAACTGAGTCCACTAAGTCCACCCTGTTACTCACCATCAAGTGTGCTCAGTAACCGAATTTTCGCAAGTAATATTTTATATTGACAGTCTTTAAAGAAAATACTTTTAACTCCCAAGTTCTCCATGAGCTCGAGTTTTGCTAGTCACTTCCTAGATTTTCTATGAGAGATCTTCAGCCTTTTTGGGTTGAGATGGTTTGTGTTGGCTGTATATAAACTAGAGAGACGTAAAAAAAAATGTGTTCACTTAGTGGAAACAAACTTGAGCACTTTTGAACGGTAGCGTTAATAAGACTTAAATCTGAAACTTTATCTCACTCTTTGGCTGATGCAGTAAAACCCTACTTGTAAGGCAGATCCTCCGTGTTAGGGAGTTTGCTGTTCTGTCCTATAATTTCTTTGGTTTATGCTAACAAGCATAAATCAGGAACTTGGAAAGATGCACAGTGCAAAAGAAAAACAGACAACCTATCCTCACCCCCAGAAAAACACTAGAAAGTAAATACTGGGAATGGGTGTAAACTATTTTTTGTTTTGTTTTGTTTGTTTGCCTCTTCTTCCCTTTGTGTCTTTGGTTTTTTTATCCCAGCCCTTCTGATGTGTTGGGTTTTGTTAGTTTGTTTTCCTTCCAGCTGAATAAATCCCGTTTATAACCTGTTGCTCTCTCTTCCCACTTAGATCAGGGTTTTATTGGAATGGAATTGCCGTTTTCCCAGATCCGCCAAGAGACGGTGTTTATCCAAACATGAGTCTCCCTGTCACAGCCGCCAACATTGAGCTGTATGCACAAACCATGGTTGCAAACATTAAGCAGAGGGCAGCGTGGTTCCGGACGAGCGACGTCTTGTGGCCGTGGGTGAGTGTCTTCAGCAGTGATTTACAGGTGGCAAGTGCACCTACAGCATGGGCAGTGTTGAGAAATGGCACTTGGCCACAGAACGTGGTGCCCACGTGCTGCTACCAACCACCCGATGGTACGGTGGGCCCAAAATGTCTCCCTAGTATTTTTTTTTTTTTAAATAGCTCCCTCACGCCAACTGTCCACCACGTCTTCCATCCTAATTAATCTAGACGGAAATGTGACAAATTGTAAAAATAACCTCTTGCCATATACTGCAGTAATGCTTCCTTTCTCTTACCCTTGCTTCACCTATTTTTTTGCTCCCTTTTCATAACCACTTAACAGAACATAGCCCTAAGTAAATAGAAATGATAGTGTCACAGGAAAGTGAATTAAACATTAAGTAGCCTAGGTCTGTCCTAAATATTGTGTGATCATTTTCTTATACACTGCTTGTGTTTTGTTTGGAAATAAAACAATTTCCCAACTTGGTCATCCAAACAGTTTTTCTGCTATATGCACTCTAAATACTATCCTACCTGTGCCTATAGCACAGAAATGGTCTAGATATTTGTAAAAGTCATTAGAAAAAGTATAGCTTTGTGTAAAATGTGAATCTAGTCTGAGTTGAATATTGAGGTATGCTCTAGACCCCATAATTACAATTAAAAATGATAAATCTTAAGGTGGCTATTTCACCAGAATACCTGGTTTGTGAAGAGAACAAAGTTTTCTGGCACGTGCAGTTTTCTGAGTCACCAGGCTGTTTCTCCCCTCTGCTTGGACCACAGCTGCTTGTTTTGACCCTTTTCACTAAAGGGAGAGGGAAGAAGTGGGATCTGTGCGACAGGGAAAGCTGAGATGAAGCAGTGAGAAGGGAGCTGTGAATGGTACAAGTCAATTCCAAATCCAGATCCAATCCTGCAGTCTTGCAGTAAAATAAGAAATTTTCACTCTCTGTTTTTCTACTTTATTTGCATTGGTTGTGATTCCCACTTTTTTTTTAAACTCACTGAAGTTCATTACTCATTCATACCGCTGTGCAGATTGCTACAGCTAACCCTAGCATTTTTCATCCTACAGACAGCTTGGAATTCTTGGATCTTTTTTTTCAGTTAAAAATTTAGGGAACGCACATGGCTTGGTAGTCCAGACGTGAGGTCTGATCCTGGCAGTTTGGTGGCAGGTTGCATGAACAAGGCAGTGTTGGTTCATAACACAGAGTGCTTATTTGTGCAGGAGGAGACACCAGGAGGGTTTGGGGCCAGAGTGAAAGTTCAAACCTGCCACTTTAGAGGCCATAGAGGTACCATGACATATGGAATTGGACATAATGGATCCTAGGATGTCATATGGCTATGTGTTTGCATTGGTTTTACTGTAGGCCCAGTGCTGCCATGCAGAATTTTAGGTGCTGTGTTGAGTGCTGGAGTGCATATTCTACCAGCACATCCCTTCCTGCAGTGAAAAGTGGCTCCTTTTCTATAAGAAAGTTCTTGTGGATTATGAGTTGAAAATAGCACTGTATAAATGCAAAGGAACATAAGACTGGTAAATGTTACTTGTTCCTTAAAAATATAATTAGAATCTGCATTAGCAAGTCTTGTTCCCACTGACTTGCATGCTTTTCTTCAGTGTTTGCTTTGATAGGACTCACTAGCTCATTTCAGTGTGAAGTTATTTCCCAGTTTGTGCTGGATACATGCAGGAGATACCTAGATACCTCAGAAGAGCTTTCCTGTTTTAGAGACAGAATTTCTGCTGTTCTGATCAGCAGCTTCCCTATTAGGTCTGAGAGATTTCACATCCCGGCATTTTCTCAAGCTTGTTTTCTGCTCATAAGAGTGCTTATGGAAATTCCTTATTTTCCACCAAGTACAAGGAATGCAATGAGAAAAGAAGGAAAGTTCTTTCCTCTATATATGTATACATATGTTTTCCAATTGTCACCAAGAAGTTGTACAATAAGGTGTGTCAACACATTTCCTCCTATGTGTAATGTCATTTACTCATCAGTTAATCTATACAACTAACCTGACCAATTCTTGATGTTTTTGTAACAAAAATCGCCCAAATGGGCAGTCAAGATCAAAAGAAATACCGCATTATGATACCGTTAAACGGATCTTTTTAAGTTAAATGGTGCAAAGTCACCCCGCTGTTCTGTTTTCTGGATTTCAGGGCTGTGACAAACAGTTCTTTAATGCGTCTGTGCAGTTCTCCAACATGGACCTGTTGCTGGATTATATTAATGAGCATTCTGATCAGTTTGGAGTGACTGTGCAGTATGCCACGGTTGGTGATTACTTCCAAGCAGTTTATAACAGAAATCTTGCATGGGAGATTCGGGACTCTCAAGACTTCCTTCCATATTCAACAGGTAATCAAGTTCACGACTGTGTGATATTTGTCTCAAATGTGTATACTTAAAGTTTTAAAGAAATTGAGAAATAAACCAATATGTCTTCCCTTCTCCTTATGATATTATTTATTTTTGCTATCAGTTCACCTCAAGTAGGACAAATTGATCTCAACTCAGTGGTATAAGAAAGAAGTAGTTAGAATATATCCTAGAGGTAGTTGAAGGTAGGAGATGAAGGAAGAGTGCCTGAAAGAAAGAGGGTAGGAATAGAAGAACTTGGCAATAAATCTAACTTGAGGGTTTGAGTTTGCTGCCTTTAAATAACAGCAGTGCCCACAGAAGAGCTAAGCAGAAGGCTTATCCATGGGTGTGTGATATCATGCAGATTTTTTAATGACCCAAATACGTCACTAATCAAGTTCTGTTACAATAAATGAAAGATCTGAGAAAACAGTGAACAGTGAGATAAATCTGTAGGCCTAAATCACCTAACTGAGATTTGTTAAGATGTTTCAGTGTATGGTTGAAGGAAAAATACTGTGGTATATGGAAAGCACTGCAACTGGTTAGCAGGTGGCACTGAGGAGAGGCATTGGGGAAAAAATGATGCCAGAGGGGCTTACATGTGATGTCATATAAAAGTAACAAAACCACGTGTTACGTTAATTTAAAGCACAGCTGAAGTCTTAAGAAATTGGAAGGTGTTTGTCTGCAAGCCCTAAAGCAGAGGTCCTAGGACTCATTCTACTTCAGGTATTAATTTTGAATAACTTTGTTTCATGCTTAGACATGGAATTCATTCTTTTCTCTGCCTCCCACATGTGGGCATGCCTCTAGTCTAGATGTTCAGCAGTATCCTGCTTGCTTGCTATGCCCCTTACTCTCTTTCCAGAAAATCATCTGTCTAACCATATAATGCTTCAGGATCCATGGAACCATGGAAAAACTGATAAATTTAAAGCCACTCGAAGCAGATGGATGCGTGGCTGAGTAGAGCACTGTCCTGTTAATACCTAGTAGGGGGACTGGATTAGAGATAAGAAAGAAATGACAGGAGAATAATCTATAAATGTCTAAGGGAAAAGTGAGTCAAGTCACCAGTAATGATCCAGGGAATCAGAGAGCTCTTAGGTTACTGGTAGTGCAGTGGGATAGGAATGGGTGAGAGTAGAACAACTAATGGCAGCACCCCTTTTTATGAATGTCATAGCACATTGATTGCAGTTGCTTATTACTTCCAGCACTACAGCATCTCTTCAGAAAGGTCTGAAAAGTAATGGAAAGATAGGAAGGAAGGAAGGTATTGCCATACCCAGGGTCACAGCAATCCCTTTCCCCACTATTCCCCAAATCTTTTTTTGAGTCTTGTATATCAATGTATGCAGAGAGAAGGCAGCAGCTAATTTCTTGGTTTCTAATTTCATTAGTGAGTTTTATGGCACTGAAAAGATTGTCATTAAAGTACCCATTCTCATACTTATTCATAACTACTGCTACATAATTGCACTTACTCTTTTGGCACTGTGGATATATGCATCAGACTATTAGGATCCAATTTGGGGTTATACTTCTAATATTCCACAGTGTGTCTGTTAACTTTTTAAATGATTAAAAATAACCATTGCATCCTGTGAATCATTGCACGGCCTGATCCCTGACTCACTCATCTCCCCCCTGGGGTTCTTGTCATATCCAACAATTTACTGATAAATTCACTGCCAGTTCTAACCTCTAATATCCTTTTACATCTGGGCTCTTACCTGGATCTTTTGGCAGATTTTGGAGGCAGGAGCCAATTGTCACTAGTTTGAGTAATAGCAGCTCCCTCCATGTTCTCGGTGGGTGCCCACACATGAATGCAATCTCTTCCCCAAAGGCCTTACTCTGCCTTGCAACTGTGGGATGGATTGGAGTGCACTTTCTCCCACGTACTGTTTCGCTTCTTGATGATTAATCCTCCCTTATTCTTCCTATGCCATTTTACTGTGAGTCACTTACTGGGCTCAATGTCACCACTGACATATGCCTTGGAAACTCAAATTTTTAAGTTCCAGACGTGTATTTCCTTTCTCTACTCTGCATTCATTGTACTGTGCTGGCATTTGTGAACTCTCTTGCCTGTAACCTTGAAAACTGAAATGAAATTCATTCTGTTTGAATTTTTACCATTTTCAGACCAACAGGATTTTTTTTCTAGAGGTTTTGACCAGAAGTTCACACTGGCAAATTGTTGCCTTTGATCCCAGTGTGATGGCAGGTTGATATAGTTTTGTATATTCACTTCGTAAACAAAACACTCTGGAACGCCTTTTTGTTAAAAAATATATGCATATACATACTCATATATACATGTATATATATATTTCAATGGCTTATCCAGAAAAGCCGCCCCCTTTGGTGAGGTTTTAAAAAATAAATCCCTGCTTTCCTAGTTTACTATATGGGCTACTGGAAAGCGTTAGCACAATGAACTGTTGCAATTCTTTCCACTGACCACTTGAGGGCATCTTTTGATGTAGTTTGAAGTGCTGCGGTAGTTTGGAGTCAATTTGTTTCACTTCTTGTGCTCCATTTTGAAGAAATTTAAATTTAAGGTCAGTCTACTTGTGTGCCTGAAAGGGAACAGTATGGAGGGCTTACAACAAGAAGTAACAAGCAATTATATTGCACCTCCTTTCTTGCCAAGACATACAGTGTGTTTCAGTGGCACTTTTGGAGTTGTCTTGTGCAGGTTATTAGTGAAGAAACTTCTGCAAACTCAGATTTATTCAGCATGCAGCAGCTTTATATGAACAGTCATGTAATAACGTAGGAAGGCCCACAGGAGGGATTGTAGGTGTCCAGAGTGTGTGTGTGTGTGTGTCTGCAGTCCTCTGTAGGGCTGGCAGCTGCTCCATTTCATTGATGTGTAAACCGGTAGGTTTCTTTTAATTTGCTTAAGAAGTTGTACAGTAGTAGTGTAGTAAACAACAAATAAGTGGTGGCTGAAATAGCATTTTGACATGTATTGGGACTCTTCAACTCTTACCAGAGCCCTTCCAAGCGTGGACGGGGTTTTACACCTCTCGGAGCGCGCTGAAAGGGGTCGCCAGGAGAGCCAGTTCGCTGCTCCATGCGGGGGAGTCCTTCTTCACCCAGTACGTCCGCAAGCAGCCAGCAGGCTCCCTCCGCAAGTGTCAAGCCCTGAAGCAACTTCAGAGCCTTAGATGGGCGGTTTCAGAGGTGAAGATTGATATTTTTTCTCCTAAAATACTTATTGCCTGAAAGTAAAGTTCTCCTTTTCCATTTCATTTAGCATGTCTCCAGCTCGTTTTTTTCTGCTGTAGCAAGTCAGAAGTAAAAATCTAGCAAACAACTGTCCCAAACCAAGACTTAGCTCCTCTGCCTTGCCTGCAGGATATGGTGACTGGCAGATGTTCTCTTCAGCTGCAGAAAGGGCGTACAGTTCCTAACTTTAAGCATGTGAAACTGCTTTTCTTGATATTTTATTACGTACAAAATGGTTACAAATTGGAACAAACTGAAAACTACTGATAATCGCCATCTGCAAATCAGAAGAGGAAAGACAGATCTGTTCCTTCTAAGTTCAGCTAAGAGATCAATCTCATACCAAAAAAAAACCAACAAACAAAAAAACCATTCATGGGCCTTTTGTTGGTAGTAAAAAGAAGAAGAAGAAAAAAAAAGGGCCGGGTCTCTGTAGGAAAGGAAACCCCTGTCTTGTTACAGTGTTTTTGCAGTGTTTGCGATTTTTGTGACTTGACTTCTGTGACTTTTTTCCAGGTCATTTTAGTAGTTTTTAAATACTGAGAAAGGCATATATAGAAAATGAAACCTGTGTTCATCTCATCTTTTATTGTTTTGTCCCATATATAGTCATTTGGAATAGGCAAAACAGATTTGTGGATGTGGTTGCAATACATTATTATTTTTAAAATTACATATCTGTTTTATATATCTGTGTATATGTATATATCTGATTATGTTAATGCAAATGCAGATCCGTAGCTGTCATCCAGTTGCATTGTAACCTTTCAAACTACTTTAAATGCAAGGTCCAGCACCACGATGGTATAACCGGCACAGAGTCTCCCAAGGTGAAGGACATGTACATGGATAATTTGATGTATGGAATGTTCAATGTAAAGAAGCTGATGGCTTCCATAATCTTTGACATGAACAACGCCGAGAAGAATGAAGAGGTCTATTCCTATGTTTACAGTAAAGACTCAGAAAAACTAGGTAAATCTTAAAAACAAACAAAAAAACTTTTCTATTTATCCAAGTCTAGTTTGAGAGTTATCATGTTTTCTGTCAAGACAGTCAAAATGTTCTGTATCGATGAAGTTTTGCAAACTAAGCTCTGTGACCAACAGCTAGAGATCTGCTAGCTTGAAGGAAATTCAGATGAATTCATGAGTTCTCAGATCTCGGGGATGTGGAACCAGGACCGTTCAGCTGTTGGCAGGTAGCTCCACGGCAGCGCGGGCTCCCAGCCCCTGGCCTCAGGTGCTGGAGGACGTGGTGGTTGGTGTAATTACTACACTAACCCCACTGGGCATAAGCCTCTGCAGTAAGAAGCACAGTCATAGTTAAGAAAAGTTCTTCCTATGGTGCACTGTCAGCATATGTAAAAAAATGGCAGATTTTTTAGAGTATATTCTAAATATTGTACATTCCTTTTTATTTTTACTTTGGGAACTTGGTAAACTCTCAGCTGCAAAGAAGGTCATGGGCTGCACAACAGATGAGTTCAGTTTGGATTTTTTTTCGGGACTCTCTTTTACATTATGTTTCTCATTTGATCTGTGTAACTCTGGAAGTTAATACTGCATGGCAATAAGTTGCAGTAAGCTTCTTATTTTCGCTCGACACATTTGCATTTGACTCAGGTGTCACTTGCTGAATACAGGGTCTCTTTGTACAGAATAAATAGAAAAACAAAGTGGGAGGATTTTTCTATTAAGTGCTGTAAAATGTGTACTTTTTTCAATCATGATGTTTTATTGCAGGGTTTTATGTTAGAATTTCTTAAGAAGATCGCACTTAGACAGATTTCATACTTTTTAACATCACCTGTTAAAATGCAAACATAGTAGTTGTGACTGATGTCTTCTCTGTGTGTGTACAAAGGTACCGTGGATGTTGACCAATACGTTGTTGTCTATAATCCACTGGCATGGAACATCACGACCTTCGTCGTGGTTTCTATCAGCCAGCCATACATCAGTGTTTATGATGAACTGGGACGCTCTGTACCCGCACAGGTACTTCAGGTTTCTTTCTTTCTCTCATTTTTGAGTTCTAACTGACTTTATCCTGCATCCTGACAAAGTGTGGTAAAATTCGGTATCATAGTGGAAGGAAAGATTAGTTCAGACTGGGATTTTCCTAGTTCCCCTTTAAGTGAGTGTTCACATGCCTGCTCTCAAACTAGAAAATTCTTTTTTTTAAGTGTCTTCTTGTTTGGTTTGTCCAGCTTGTACGCCTGTTGTGTGCCACCTAGCACTGCTTGACATTACTGTTTTTTTCCATTAAAAAACTGTTCCAGAGTTGGTCTGTCCTCATCTCCTTTGCCAGAAGTAATCCATATATGCATATGAGCACCCACTTCAGCCTAAATGAAACTTTTTTCCAGCAATTAGAAGATTTTTTTTAATTATTTATATATAATTTATATAAATAATATATATATAATATGTAATATATGATTATATATTATATATATCATGTATATTATATATTATACTAATAATATATATAATTTGTATAAATTAAATATTTATTTTTCTCAGATGTGCTGTTCAGAAGTGCTCCTTCCTCTTGGCATGCTCCTCCTTCTCGACAAAAATAAATCTGGAGCTCTGAATGCTCATGCGAGTATGTGCTTGAGAGGGACTGTCTTTTTCTCATACTAATCACATCTCCAGTGCTTCAGTCCCTCTTCCATCATTTAACTGATAAGTCTCGTATGTGGTTATTTGCACTCATACGTGCAAGTTGGCATGTGATTGTAATCAACATCTGTCATTTCATTTTCACTCACAGGTCGTTAAAATAACGCCAGCCTTCACCTTTGCTAACACTTAGCCACCCTCTTTCCTTCACTAGAATGGCTAATTTGAACTAAACTCTCTGAAAAAGTAGTACAAGTCCACATGGTAATGAAGAAATGCAAGAACAGTTTGTTTAGAAATCTCTCTTTGAATAAGTTGATTTTAGTGATTCAGGGCTTGGAAGACGTGAAGAAAATTGCCTTGTCAGTTAATTCTCTCTTTAATGAAGTGGTGTTGTGTGTGTTAACTTACAGGTTCAAAGCTCAGCAGAGTCCCATTTTACCTATGATCTGTACATCCTAGTTTCAATAAGTGGCCTGAGCTACAGAAAATACAATGTTAAGCCTTCTCTTGGTAAGCAATCTGCATTTATTGGAAGATCAGTTAAGTACAAGCGAAAAGACATAACCCGTGGATACCAAAAAAGTCAGCGTTTGTTTCCAGTGGTTAACAACTGCTACGAGGTCATGTTTGACCAAAACACTAACCTAATGCAGAGCATTACAGAGAGGTGAGCTTTCCTGCTTTTTCTATTAACATACCAGATTCTGTAACACCCTTTATAAAAGTAAGTCCAAATACTGTATCATGTTTCTTAATTCTTAGAGTTACAGTTACTTTATTCATCTCCAGTTCATGTGTTGATGTCTGCAGAAGGGAGAATACTGTCACAGAAATCATGCCATACTATTTCTATAATGTTGTTGCCCTGTTTAATCATATAGTCAATATCAGCCTATATATTAAGTAGTGTATCCAAACCTCATCAGAAACTTGTTATATGCCACACTAAAAAGGGATATGAATGTGTGTTCTTATTAAAAATAACTTGAGAACACACAGTACAGTTACACAATGAGCCCTAAGTAATAAAGCAAGAGCTTTCTCCTTCTAATCAGTAGAGCTTTGTGGGTCCTCTGTCACTATTTCCGTGGCTGGAAACTACAAAACCTTTCAAAGGACAGCCAACATCCTTTCTTGTGATTAGGCAAATAGAGCATCGAGGTTGAGGTGAGTTTGGGGGTTTGTAGATCCTCTTCCTCAGCAGACAGGAACTTGGCCCAGTTCTGCAGATTCGATGGAGCTGTGCAGCTCTCTGAAGGCTCAGAATTCAGATTATCTCAGCTGGATACTGATAGCGGATCCAGATCGCTTTTTCATTGAATCCAGTGACTACCAGATCTCTTTGATGTTTGTGTTTGTTATTCTGCCTCTCAGGAGGGAGAATTTATCCAGTAGAGTTGGAAATAAGCTTTAAAACTATAGATGACCCTAAATTGCAGAAGTAAGTAGCTTCTGTAAGTGCTTTCAGATCCTGTTTGGTTCCAAATCCCAGTTTACACTTCCTCTGTAATAAGGAAGAGTAAAAATCCAGGTTTGAATCCCTGTAAATACCCATAACAGGAGCAATGAAAAAGACTTGAAGGTGTTTTGCTTCTTGGTCGTTTTGTTTATATTAATACTCCCTAAAACTGTTGGCAGTTTAAAGTCATGTGCCATAGACCATTGACTTGGCCCTTCTAAGAAGCAATTTTCCTGCTTTGCCAGCAAGGAGCTCTAATGTCCAATAGATCAATAGAGTGAATAGCTGAGAGCAGTAGTGTCTTAAATTACCTTCAGATGGTTCTCCAAAGAGTGTGAAATGGAGTCCTGAAGAGTTTATCTGTAAGTCAGCTTGAGGGTGAAAGGAAAATAGATGATGAGTGTGGATTTTGCCATTATATTGTTTTTATCAAAGGTGAATGTGGAAATCTGCATCATACCAGTTTACCTAGCTACAACATTGGTTAAACAAACCTGAGTATTAATGTAGTTATATGCTTCATTTTTGTGTGGGAGGCCAATCTTTGATCCAAAGAAACTTGATTTTGCATCAAAACAGTGCACCAATGTGGATGTTGTTAATCTTTTAAGATATTTCTGTCTTACTAAAGTATAAAATAACATGGAAAATCCATTTATTTACATGATGACAAATGTCTTAACGGGAAGCACTTTCATTCTCTGCCATCCTTATTTACTGAGTGTTATAAAATCAGTTATTCTGGTACTCTGAAATCTAAGGAAGCAGATTTTTCTTATGTTCCCACCTCATTCCCATTGCAGTTCAGCTTGCAGCTATTATGTGCAAAACGTGTTTGTAGGCAATAACCCTTTTCCCTTGTGAATTCACAGGGAGACTAACCAGACTGTCCAGCTGACCCAGGAGTTCCTTGAGTATCATGTGAATGGAGATGTGAAGAAAGGACCCATTTCAGATAACTACTTATTTGCCCCAAATGCTTCAGCTGTTCCAGTATCAAAAGCAGTGGGGTTGGAAGTAGTTTTTGGAAAGTTAGTGACAGAGATACGCCAGTATTTCTACAGGTACAGCACTGGTGCCAGTTCACTTCGCTTGTATGTTCATTCCTCTATAAATATATGTGAAAGAAATTCTGTACTGTTTAGGTCTTAAAAGATCTAGCATGCAGCTGGTAAGGGTAATGCAGAGGAAGCACTTCTTTTACTAGAGCATGTTATAGGGGGAAGGAGGTGAAGATTGTTTGGAGTTGCTTTTTTTGATTTTGCTTCTAATATAGCTTCTGTTAAGATGCAGTTTTCATGCAATTCTGTGAAAACTACAGCTAACATCCCCATATGGGTAGAATTTAGATATGACAGTTCATTTTTCCAGTTTTCATGCAATTCCGTGAAAACTACAGCTAACATCTCCATAGAATTTAGATATGACAGTTCATTTTTTTGGCCTATAGAAACCATTCATATAGAAATTTAATTAGTTAACGACAAAAAGGAACAATGGATTGTGCATGACAACATTCAGGGGTTTAAGGAGCTAGCTGCTTTTCTCTGTTACTTAGTTTGTAAATTCTCCATCATCTTCCCCACCACACAGTTATTTGAGTGACGACTTTTGGTTTAAGCTAATTTGCGTTATGCTGTGATGGTAGTTAGGAAGTTGGGAACTTCTGAAAGCAGAGGGGAATTTTTGCCTCAAAATTATCATTATCCAGGTTGGAAAACTTCAGAAATGGAACAGCATGACTTTTGTAGAATGTAAGTGTATTGCTTAGGAAGCCGTAATTATTTGTTAACCAAACTTGGTTGTTAATGTTGCATGCACGTATGCAGACGTCTTGAATAATTTGCAAGTCCTGACATAAGGGATCTTTCCTCTCATTTCCCTAGTAATGTTACTGCTCAGGAGTACGTATATGCCATGTATACCAGGATGTATACGGTACCAGAAGGCTATGATGGAAAGTTGCTTTGCCACAGGCTAGAGCAAGAATACAGTGCTGGACCCTTGGAACCAAATCGTGAGGCTGTTCTAAGAACAAGCACAAATCTGAACACTGGGCAGCTGCTCTACACTGACAGCAACGGATATCAGATTCAGAAAAGACCATTCAAGGCATATGTGAATAACACAGTGGCTCGGGTAGGCTCCGGGGCATAATCCAAAGTCACATGTGTGTGATGTCCATTCTCTGTTAGTTTTAACTGAGTTAATTTTGGCGCTCTCTGACTGACTGTGTTTTCAGAACTATTACCCTATGGTCCAGACTGCCTATATTGAGGATGATAGCACAAGGCTGGTGCTGCTTGCAGATAGAGCTCATGGTATCTCGAGTCAAGGAAATGGCCAGGTGGAGGTAATAAATGCTTTTGTTTTTCCAAGAGAGAATAACTTCATGTGTGCTGATGCGGAGAGCAAAGCACGATGGCTGATCCCTGCTGTGGCACTTGTCTTACACAGGTGATGCTTCACAGGAGGCTGTGGAACAACCTTGAGTGGGACCTGAATTACAATCTCACTTTGAACGACACTTCAGTGGTTCGTCCTGTGTTCTGGCTGATCTTAGGAACCAAGAGCCTCACCAATATGTTGTATCGGCCGAGCGGCCTGGCGTTAGGACACAGACCAGTTGTTATGTTTGGAGCATTAGCAGGTACCTCATTCCATCTCCTCACCTATTTTTAGCGTCCAAATGGCCTATTTATTTTATGTGGATTTGTGTTAAGTTTATAAATGGAGACTTTAAGCTTTCTGTGCTTGGGAAAGGCAGATTTAGAGCCCTCTGATGAGTTTGCATTAATTTCCAGCATGGATGTTGTCCAAGTGTATGAAATGTTTCTGTTATGCAGTTATCTCTGCTTTCAGAGGAGAACAAGTTACAAAGCGTCCAACAAGAACAAAGTATTCACATAGGGAATTAGTACAAAGTAGCTAGTGCACCATCTATTTACTTCCTGGACGCTGAGTCCTTAAAAGAATAATTCAAAACAAGGTTATTAAAGCTATTTGTTTGATTTATTAACCGAAAGTCAAGACTGGTAGAGGAATAACAACGTCAAGTTGCAATGAAGTCAGCTTTGTGGGAAGCTCCAAGGCACTTCCTTGGCAGTTAGTCCTGCTCCTTTTTGCTGTGTATCTCACAAGGCCTCAGAGTAGGAAGAACAGCATCTGCTTTGGATCGGCCTGGGCAGCAAAAGCAGGAATCTTTTTACTGCTGCCCGTGCTCTAGCCATGCTTGTGTGCCTGAGAAATGTTTGCTCTGTTCCATGCTGTGTGAAGGAGGTAAGCGGGAGCTGGCCAGGCAGCTCCAGCAGGATTCCGTGACTGTCCCGCCCAACCTGCATCTCCAGACCCTGAGCATCCCGGGGTGGAAGTACAGCTCCAATCACACACAGCACATCCGCAGTGTTCACATGGGTAGGTACCACAGAAAATGTAGCTGCATGTTACGCTTTAAAAAGCTCTGTCTTCTCTCTCTGTCTCCTGTGACTAGTACTTTTATTTATTCAAAGTGCTAAAGCCCTCTATCAGGACAGTTAACTGTACTGCATGATTGGTCTGCTCAAATAGCAGCATCCTCTCCTGCTTGAGTTAATGTTGCAGTTAGTTTCATGTCCTGTTAGCAGTGGCAGCTGGATGTTTGCTGTTAGTGCCCTTGCTAATAATCTTCAAAGATAGGAATTTAATTCAGAGTAAATAGTGAGTGTAAAGCTCAAAAAATCATGTTTTAAAAATAGTTCTATTTTTTAAGCAGGAAAATATTTGCCTTTTGTTTTTCTCCTAAAGGCAAACAGAAGCAAGCTGATGCAGACTTTGGTCGTGTCCTGCTAAGAATTATGCACCTGTATGAAGTGGGCGAAGATCCTGTGCTGTCTCAACCTGTACTAGTGAATTTGAAGGTAAAACCAGTCCTTCAGAACAGAATAGCACTTAGGGTGTCTTTGCCGCAGAAAAAAATGGTTCTGGAATGGAACTTGTATTACGGACACCACAGAAGGTAGATTTGAAAACACTAGTAAAACTCCAAAAGGGGGCAAGTTTTGTATTTCCTCAGCTTTGCTCCAAAGAAGCGATTATTGCAGATGCAGTTACCATAGGCACAGTAGGAAGATTTGCATAAATATCTGTAAAACTGTTGCCATTGGGGCGAGCTTCTGTATCTCTAGTTGCCCTTGTGTTGCATGAACTAGAGCATCTTCTAAAGTCTCTATTGCCCTGATTAATAGCTCAGTGCTATAGATGGTCCACCTGCATACCTGGCAGCACTATTCACCTCTGAATAAACTGTGATTTCACTACTTGCTTCTTGGTTTTTGCTCGCAGTCCTTGCTGAAGGGATTAGGATCA